GGAAGGCAGCATTCCTGAACTCAACAGGGAGAAGTCATTTTATTTCCTCTTTTGATTTCCCAAGTTATTACCATTTCTAAGGAAAAACTTATCCCTTCCCTGATCTTCCACTCAGTGCTTACTTTTGAAAATATGGAAATCACAGGACGCTTGCATGAATTTCAACCCATGGCCTGACAGGTGATGCTTTGGAAGATGAATAGAGGATCAGATCATCAACTGCAGCACGTCCACTGAAATAAATGGGACAAAATTACACCAGAAACAGCCTGATCCAGAAATGGAAATGGCCTAACCCCCTCCAGTTCTGTCAGCACAAAAGTTGAATATGCCCCAGTACTATTTATGGGACTTCTTATGAAAATGTCTCTTCCCCATTGCCAGTTGGTCCATTACCAAGGCTGTGGACTAATTGTACTCAGGAACTTCTTTACATTCATGACTGTCTGTAACACTTTAATTGTTACAAGGCAAACACTCTGTGTGTCCTATGTTCTTCCTGGCTGATCTTTATAAAAGTTGTGCTATCTGTGGGGTTTGTTATTTGATTTTTCCCTCTGTATTCTACCACCCAATGTCATCCTGAGCTAACTGAGAGGAGATGTCCATCAAATGAAGCAGAACTCAGCAGTGCAAACAAAATTCTTCCAGGCTCTGTGGGTACAGGGTTGTGAGTGAATTATTTCCCTGCACCACCATAACTTCAACTCCCACCATAGAGTCCACAGACTCTGAGCCAGGGGACCACGAGCCCCAAGGCTCCTGGAGCTGCTTCCTGGACCCAGGGCATTCTTCACCTGCTCAGTTGCTAAATAATCCACATGAGATAATTACCTAACACCTCTTCCTATAGAATCCAGCTCATTTTCATGCACCTATGACCTGCTTTAAAAAAACGATAAAAAAAGCTTTTCCCTATCTTTTTGCAGGCTATACCATCAACTTGCTTAACAACCAAAACCAACAAAGGAAAGGCTAAACCTCCCTTAAAAGTTAATTTGAGACCTGAAAAATCTTGTAGTCACGTAGACTCTAAATACTAGTTCAGTGTTTCACACAAAAAATATCCACAGGAATCTGATTACAGAGTTACCAACAAAATGCACTCTAGAAAATCACAGTTTCTTCTCTCCCATGCTAGCCAGTAACAATGCCCCACGTGAATGCAGCATATCCAAAGTAAATCTGGTAATCTGGTTCCATACAGGTAATTTTATTAATTGCTTTAATATGCAATTAAGGAATAGTCAGTGGGCTGCAGGGTTTTATAAGGCAATAATCCTGTTCCCTGGTGTACAGCTCTGTCCCAAAGAGTGGGCTATCAAAAAAAAAAAAAAAAAAAAATTAGCTGGATGACTGCCAAATCAAACAGCACCTTCTTCCCATTTTCAATTACGTACGAGTGAGGCAGAGTAACAAGGATATACTGGAAACTTTGACATTTATTTATTGAACATTTTACTGAGAAGGAATTGCTGGCTGGCTAAACCGGAAACTATATTTTTACTATAGAAACAATCCCATAGAAAAGCAGGATCCTGCTGCTCAGCATGAAAGGAATGGCTAGAACCAATAAATTGACCCACCTAAACCAGCAATATTAAAGTTATTTCATTCAATAGAGCATGTATTTCAAAAATCCAAACCCCAAAAATACAGTCTATTTCACAAATCTTTATGCCATGCTGTTTTACACAGCACTGTCTGCTGGGGCCCAGCCAGGCTGGGTTAGAGCTCCCACAAAACCACTCAGAGAAAAAGTGTGCAGCATCTGTAGGGGCAAATGAGAAGATAAACCAAGAAGAAATTCAGAGGATTTTCTCTCCTTTCTGGAGTTTCTAGAGACTAAATAACAAAAAGATGAAATGGGGAAGAACTCACCACACTGTGTGTTTTTTTTTTTTATTTTTGGATAGATCAATTGTTTTACCACAGAGGAGAAAAATGCAGGGAGAGTAAATGAAGAGGAAAATAGGGAAGTCAACATTCTTTGAAGCAACAACATATGGTGACCAGGCCTGAGAGATGGAGGTTATAAATCTTCCCTTGATAGAATTACCTAAAGATGAAATTGCAGCTTCAAGGGGCTTGAACTTTTCAGTCTACACTAGGAGCTTGCAAATTAACCTGTTTGGTCACAGCTTTTGCATTAACCTTCATTTCCAAGGCTTCTCTGTAAAGGCTCAGTACATTGAGAATTTTGGTGCCAATACAGATGTGGTCAGTAGAAAGTACAAAAATCTTTGCACAAATCACTTGAAATATGAAGAAAAACACATGAAAATGAAGAATTAGAACAAAATGCTGAATTGTTCAAAGAGCTGCAGTATGGGAAAGGAGAATACAGAGAGAGACAGGAGGCATGTTGCTGCATGTTACTTTGTGAGAATAAACTTATTTAGGGATACCAAAGGATAAAGGAAAAGCTCTTTAATGTTCCACCATGACCCACTGCTGAAAACAGGTCAGGGAGAGGCTCCTGCTGTCCCATGTGGGGTGGGTGCACCAACAGCCATGTGTGGTGACTGCCTGCCTGTCCTTGCAAAAACCATCCCCTGAAGCAGCTGCTTCCCCACTGCAAACCCCAGAGATGGGGCAGCACAGGACCAGGGCTGTGCTTGGGATGAGAGTTCAGCAACCAGCACAGCCACAGGAAATCCCACCCAATTCCAACACATTTCGGACCTGTGCAGGTAAATAAAGCCTAACTCTGACTACTCCACAGGGTCACCACAGAGTTGGCTCTTCCCTAGGTGGCCCACCTTGTCTTTCCTCTGCTGAAAAGGATGTCCTGGGGGATTTTGAGGACCTTGCCTTTGTGTCCTGATTCTGAGTGAGGCAGCTGCTCTGACCTGGCTGCCCCATGCCCCAAATACCGACAGGATGCACATTCCATCAAATTCAGCATCCCTGGTGGGCAGCTGCCAGGGCTCTTGTCACCAGAGTATGGTAAAGATGGGCTAAGATTAACAGAAGTGATTTGGAGGGATCCAGATTTGGGTGCTACGTCCAAGCTGTCCTAAAACTGCTTGAGTTTTAGAAAGTGGAGAAGAGCCAACCCATAAAAACCAGGGAGCTTTTAAACGTTTTGATTCTGACATTGAGTGGAAATGTCCAAAGATTGTTCTGAGAAATGTGACCAGTGACTGGGAAAAATACGGTAAAAAATCCCCTTCAAAAAACCATAGACATAAGGAGAGAGGTTATTGTAAAAAACCCACAGCTCTCTCCTTTGCTATTACAATGAGCAAACAAAGAGCTTTGCAAAGCACAGTAATTAAGCACAAACCATCTATTAGAGGAGAGGTAATAACCTGTATTTGCAAAATCTAAAAGATGCTGAATGTTTGCAGCACCTCTAAGAAGGAGTTGTTTTGGAAGATGTGTTACAGAAGTAAATGTCAGAGAGGTTATTGAACTGCAATGGTAGATACACATTTGCACTTCCCTGACCCTAAAATAAATGTATTCAATTTCTCCTTTGTGATCCCATGTAGCTAAATGACTTTAAAAATATTCATATCTGTTCTGACATTACTGGATATTTTTCTGAAATATTTTTATATATAAGGGCAGGGTAAAAAACTAAAGGTAAGTGGATACACAAAATTATATAAAACACAACACAGAAAACTTCGCAGCATTAACTTTTTCCAATGCTAATTAAAACAGACTTAATAAAATCAGATTTGAGTTGTTCAGTTATTGTACAGTAGTGAAAAACATCCTAGACTTGGAATGAAATACGTGTTTGAAGGCAGAAGATTAACAGAAGAGTAAGAATTGAAGTCTTGTCACCAGAAGTTGCTACTGAAATTACATTTATCAAAATAAGGCCTCCTTACAAGCACTAGAATTATTACACACAGATATATATGCTGCAAGTGTATTTGCTGCAATGGGATTTATTTTAATGGAAACATTCTTATGAAAGGAAACTGCTCTTTGTGCTAACCTACCCAGCACTGTAGAATATTCCCATTTGGAGAAGTGCCAAGCACAGCCCAGCTCCTCAGCTTATGCTGAGCTGTTTATTGATTCCAGTGGAACTGCACCAATTTAACCAGGTCAAGGAGCTGACCTCCCTATTCACAAAATATCTCCAGATAAGCTTTTGTGCAAAATTTCATCTACCAATATCTGTCCCTGACGTTGTAAAGCAAAATGCAACAAATGTATTAGGGACCATCCTGATAAATAATTTTGTCCAACTGCATTTTGCTCTTCAGTGTCCTTGTGCAGCATGAAGAGAAGACATGGCTTATGGGATTGCCAGGTGGGAAAACAGGTATGATTTGGGACAGTCAGACCCTTCTTTGGGATTGGAAAACAGGCATGATTTGGGACAGTCAGATCCTTCTTTGGGATGGGAAAACAGGTATGATTTGGGACAGTCAGATCCTTCTTTGGGATTGTGTTGCCACTGTTGTTTGTATAAAGGCAGCTAAGCCATGCTTTGACTGATCCACTAAAAATAAAAGCCTCTCTGCTACTTTTTCAGCTGTTAATGGACTGAAATAACATGAATGGACATGCAGTTCCATCCTCATTATTAACTCTGCATTCACTGGGGGCAGGACAAGAGCTAAGATGTGTTATTTTTTACTGCATAAATAATGCTGTGTTGCTTCTTATGTTTAACATTCCTCAATATGAAGGAAGGAAAGTAGGACAAATGTAACTGAGATGAAAGTGTGACCTTCCTGCAGGATCAGAGCCTTGCCAAATTCCCTGTTTTGTCTGTAAAATTACATGGGCTAACTTCATACACAGCAGCTTCTATGCATGTCCCCACACATGTCCAAAGACAAATGAATCCTCAACACACCTAAATAATATCTGAGTTGGACAGAGGGTGGAGAGAAAGCGATGCTGGATCTTGTCTGCCAAGAAGGGACAGACTTTTCCACTTGGATTTAGGTCTGTGTGTGGTGCCAGAATCAAGGTGTAAAACACATTAAAACTGAATAGAAAATGACATAAAATCAGGTGCTGCATACCTGGATAGATGCAAAATCCCCAGAAGCACAAGCTCCAAGAATAGCAGCACCCACCAAAACAGACTCCACTTCTTTGGACAGCACAACAGGTTTGCCTGCAGAGGGAAGAGCCAGGCCTCTGTTAGAGAACACAGCAGCATCAGCAGCTCCACAAATAATTAAAACAAAAAAAGGAATCAAAACCCATTATTCAAAACCCCATTCAGAGCTACATCCTGCTGTAGATTAATGTAAATCTCTCTGCTCTGTGGTTCCAGGCTCCAAGGAAGTGCAGCATTTAAATAAAATCATTTTAGCAAAATATTAATTCAGAACCTAAAGCACACAAAAAACAACCCCCCAGATCTTTGACACTGGCTATTTATCTCATTCAAAGGGCTTGGTATAAACCTGTTACCCACACCCTCCAAACCCACGTGCCTATTAAAAGTTGACCTGGAGGGGAAAACAAGGCGGTCTCCTTTTTGTCTCTTTTGCAACAAACAAAAAAAGACTGTTTGTGTTTGGTTTTGAACATACAGCCAACAAGCCAGTCTGGTTTTGCTGGAAGACATGAAAATATGAGTAGTAAACTTTCTCAAGCTATGTATGAAATAATAAGAGAAATTTTGTCTTCCAATTTGTGCAAGATACTGGAAAACAAAATTAAAACACTGGAAAAACAAGCAAACAATATATATTCTAAAGTAGAATTAAATATTAGTGTTTCATCACCCATGGGTACTGATGAGAACATTCTTTCCCTTGGTTTATGCAGAATTTTCTGAGACCTGTTTCACTAGTGTAAAGAAAAGCAGGAAAAGGCTAAAAAAACAAATAAAAAATAGCCTGCTTTCTTAATTCCCCTGAAAAATCTAAACCAAGAGCACAAATCTAAATACTTTTCTAGCTGCACTTCAGATGCTTCTACTCACTAAGCTGAAAAATTTAATATTCCTGCAGTATTTGGCACGTGTCTGCATTTCCAGTACTGAGATAATGTCATTCAGTGAGTGATGATGCAAACACAGGGGTGGGAGCAGGGATTCCTGCTCAGAACAGTCTCCACCATATTATACACTAAAAATGCTGCTCCTGAGAGCCAGCTGTAAGATTAGACGGAGCTGAAATGTGGGTGAAATCCTAAAATCAGCCACGAACAACTTCCATAGAGGAAAAAGGCAAAATGCCAACTTTGCAAAATGAGAAATAAAATTATCGATATAAAAAAGCAAATTCACCTCACACCAGGCTTTCAGTAAGTTGATGCAAAGCTTGCCCTGTCACCTGAGCATTCCTGCAGCTCAGCTGAAGCACAGCTCAGGACTTGGGTCAGCTTGGAACAGCAAATCTCAAGCTCAGAGCTCTGTGGCTCTTTGCCAGGCGTCAGTGAGCAATTTTCAGCGTGCTCTAAAATTTACTGCCCATTTCCCGCACGGTCAGAATGAATACGGAATTCTTACCAGGCAAACAAAAAGATCAAGATACTTTTTAAGTGGCCTGTGGAATTATCTATTGGATGTCTGCATGGCTGAGTCATGGGCATTTGTGCTAACAATAATATATTCAGATTTTTTTCTTTTCAGGAAAGAATGGGGGATTGATCCTGGAATGTTAGTTATTTTATCTGATAGGCTCTAATGAGTTCAACATAACCAAGAGCATTTCAGTCAGATGAACTCTGACATCCCTTGTCAGTCACTGATTTTACAAATGGGGGAGAACTCCAGACTGCAAAAAGGCCTTTTTGTCCTGAATTGTACTTGGCCATTAGTTACAGTCAAAGAACTTGTGATTACATTTTAATCAGAATACCTTTTCACAGATCTTTTCTTTTACACATCACCACCCAGCAGCCCAACTCTACATGTAGCTGAAATTCACCTAAAATATGGGAGTTTTTGAAGGAAAGGCATGGACTTAACAACATTTTTCACAAAGCATCACTTCAACTACAATATATTTAGTGAATTTTAAGGTCAACAGGCATTATGTTTTTTGCTTGTCCATCAGGGTTATAAAGTGTGGTTTGATGTTTGATGTCAGATCTCCAGACCGAAAGCCCCAAATTTGGGCCTTAAACTTCATTTATGACAGTTTAACTGATCTTAATTTGAAATAAAGCCAAAACACACATCACTCAATGTTTCTCTGAAGTCCTTTACACTAAATGTTGTTATTTTTTCCACATTTTTTGAAGTATATTCAACTGACTCGCAGGTGTGCAGAGATGTCCAACACACACAGGCTGAAGGGAGACCAAAAACACCACGGAGTGAAACACCATGGAGTGTTGTAGCGAAACACACACCCAGGGCCTTCCACCCACCAGGTGGAAGGTGGGTGCAAGGCCCTGGGTGAATTTCGTAGAATTCCACCAGGAATTCTACAAAACCAAGGGCAACACCTTGCAGGAGCAAGGAATCAGATGTTTCCCCCTAAACCACGTCGGTGACACAGGCATGGAGGCAATTCAGGAAAGAATTGTTCTATAGGATGGATGCAATGCCAGCATCAGCAGGAAGTGTCACAAGTCAAACAGGGTGAAGCCAACAGAAGGAACATTTCATTGCACACTTTTTTGGCCATGCAGCAAAATACAGCTCTATATAAAGTCTTCATTTTTCCAAAGTACTTATACACCAAAAAAAAAGTATATCCCACTCCTTTCCATGCCCTTCCCCAGGCTCACCAGTAATGTCAGCATGCATCTGCACAAAGAGAGGGTTCTTGCTCAGCCCACCACACAGGAACAGCGTGGTGATCTCATGTCCTGCAGCCTGCATCGCCTCCAAAATGTGTCTCGTTCCTAACTTCAAAAAGGGAGCAAAAAACAGAACCAGGTGAGCACAGGAGAGCAGCCAGGAACAGAAGCACACCTGCACGGCAAAGGCATCCCCACCAGAATCTTCTCTTTACTTTGTACAACAGCATCTGAAAATCCAGCTCAGAAAAGAGGTTTCAATTCTGAAGCCAAATAGCAAAGCAGAACAAAAAGAGAACAGCAAATAAAAAACAGTTTTCTGTCTTTTCAGCAAAAAGGAAAACCTGAAGAATTTTGCATTGGCTTAACTATTTCTCTTGGCCTTTGCCCTGTGCAAAATAGTGTTCCACTTCATGGCTGGATTAATTGAAACATCTCAAATGCAGGCATATTTTAAACTTTTCATTTACAGTCTCCATTCTGAGAAACTCAAATCAGAACGGCAGAAGCAAATGCTTGCCATTTTCAAAAAAAAAAAAACAAATTTTCTTTTTGTTCGCTTTGCTTCCCTCCTCACTGAAGTCAACCTTCTCCCTATTTTCCTCTTGCAAGAATATTTTCCATTTCTTTGACAAACTATTTGACCAAAACCAATTCCCAGCTCTTTATAATGTCTTGGAAGTTAAATTGGAAGCTCGTATTTGACAAAATGTCAAATTCAAGGCAAAATGTTGCCCAGGGTGACTCTTAATAGGTAGATTCCCCACAATCTGGTCAGAGTTTTCACAAACTGTTACTTAAGTTTTCTTTAGACCATGCTGCAGTTCATTAAGAGGGCTGCAGCTGTAACAAACCCCTCTTCAAATAAAGCCTACTGAAAATGGAACTTGCATGGCTCCACCAGGCCGGAGATGTCCACAGTGAATGCCCAGCACTATTCTGGACAAGCCTTCAAATGTATTTTGATTTTTAGACATGCAGTTCAGAGGAACCTGAGCAGCCCCAGCCCCAGCTGACTAAATCCATTGCTTCCCTATTGACACAGAGGGCTGATCTCCAAACTGCACTGCCACGATTTTAATTATGGAAATATCAACTGCTCCAAAAGGAGCCTGCCTGCTCAGAACGGGCTGGACAGCCACAATTGCATCTCTGATCATGTTCTCATCTAGCCAACTGTTGCATTGCATTTTGCAGTGAATAGTTAAAAGGAGATTCTCTTTCACTGCTTCTGAAATTCAAATTTATTAACAACTTCTCTCACAACATACACACGTCAAAGACCCTGAGAAAGAACATGCTGTGAAAATTATTTTGTGTTTACCTGCCTGGAAAATTGTATTCACACAGCAATTTAAATTAAAGCCAGACTTATTTCACTGTGGGTGGGGGGGGGAACTAATTTAATCCTGGGTTGGAGAAAATGCAAATTGAGGGGCTTCAAATGCAAATTTTATATAAAAAGGAAAAAGCATCTCCTGCTGAAAAGAAAACTAGAGATTAACATTCTGTGGGCAGGCCTACACTTTGTACAAGATTTTTACATAGATTTAAAGTTTATCTTGCACTCATTGAAGACAGCTAATGGTACAAGATTACTACAACTGTTTCCTTCAATAAAAGTGAAGCTAAAATTGGGAGTGAAAATTTGATTTCCTAGAAATCCCATTAGCAATTAGTAAATATATAGAGTCAAAACCAATGTTCTCTGTCTACTTTTTAGTTACTGTTTCAATAATGCTTTGGGGGAAAAATAATTTCCCTTAACTTATAGTGAAAAGAAAACTACAATATGTCCTTTTTATATTAAATCAGCTCAATCAGCTCTCCAAAAGATATGCAGCTGCTGAGTTTACTGCTCATGACAGTATTTGTGTTTTACAATCAAGTTTGAGCTGTATCATATAATGAGATAATAGGTGACTTTCCCAGGATTTCCAGCAGAGAAGGTTTCCACTTCGTTAGCACGAGATAATCACAGGGCACCTGTTCCAGACTGGGAAGTTCCTTTCAGGGGCAGGATCAGTCCCTGGCATTGTTGAACCTCTCCTCCACTTTCTTCTTTCAATGGTGGGATTATACTGAAGCATCAGGTATAACCCAGCTACATTCATCTGCAAAAGGCTCCAAACTCCCAACAATGAATCCCAGGCTGCGGTTAAGTTCTCCTTATTTGCTGAAGAGGGAGGGTTAACACATGAGATGAACAATTCCCAATAAATTTACAGCAGCCGCCCACCCTCTCCATCCCAGATGGCTGACCCAGCCTAGAAAAGTTGTTGTTTAACCAGGAGAGGAGTTTGGAAGTTTTCCAACTGAACAGAGTTTTGTCAGGAAAACTCCCCAATTCATCAGACTGTTCATGTTTTGCAAAAACACCTCAAGTTCAACAAACTTTAAAAAAATAAAAAATGTACAGAAAGGATGTTAAAGGAATGTGGATTTCAGTCACCAGAGGGCTGAGGACAGCATGTCCCACTGGAAACACCCTGGGCCAGGCTTTCCAAACCACTTCTGTGAGCCAGGGTTTCACCTCAAAACAGAACTTCTCGTGAACTGGAAATCCTGGGTTCAACAGAAAATCAGGGCAGAACAAAAAGAGTTCCGAGAAATTCCCCATCGCTGGTGCTGGCAAACAGCAGGGACATTTCCCAGCCTCCCTGCCCTGCCCTGCCCAGCCGGGGCCACAGGCTGGGACTGCTCCCCTTGGGGCAGGGACACAGGGGGAGGATGTGCCCTGCTGGGTCTGAGGCACAGCCCTGGCACAGAGCTCTGCCTCACCCAGCGGGCAGGGAGGGCACATCCAGGGATTTGGGAACCATCTGAAGCTGAGGCTTTTCAGGGAGAGCACATCCAGGGATTTGGGAACAAGCTGAAGCTGAGGCTTTTCAGGGCAGCACAGAGTCCTTTGTACAATTGCCAGAGCTTTTCTCCCCCTCTCTCAGCCTCCCTCAGGACAGCTGGGATGTGAACACTGCTCCTTGTGCTGTCAGCCTCCTTCCTCACATCTGCACCAGAGGCAAAAGCTCCATGTACAAAATTGCCATAAGGACAGGATTTTTTAGGGGAACACCTTCCCCCACAGTCTGCTGATTATCCTCCAGTTGGGAGTGGTCACCACTGTGGGTGAACAGTATCTTGCTCCTTTAAGAAGCCCATTAAGTGAATTCATGTATTATTAGAAATCTGGTTAGCAGAAGGGAATGATCAGTCTGCACAGAACAATTCATTTCTTCTTTTATGCACTAAAAATGTCTTACAGCAATGGCTTGGATCGTGGCCAGGTAGATAAGGGCAAGTTCATCCAGACCCCGAGACAATGTTAGTCCAACAACCTGTGCAAAGATCAAAAGGAAGAAGTAAAAATCCAGCCAAAGTAAAACTCTATTATTTTCTATGGCTTCTTGTTGTAACAAGTTTTAAGTGCTAATTCCAAGCCATGCTCCTGTGAGCTGTACACATAATGTTATGTTAAACATGTTATTCCTGATCTGGGGAAGAGCCACATAAATTATCCTTGCCCTTGTGAAGAAATAAAGAACAAACAGCATATTGTATGGGATTAGAGATAGATTAACTCTGACAGTTTTATGTTATGACTCAGATATTGCTCGTGAATGTATTTAATGTAATAATATGAAAATGCTATTACATAAAAATAACTTTTTAAAAGCATTTCTCCCCCTCCCTCCCAAGCACCCTAACACTGAAACACAATTAATAATTAAATACCATATCTTAACCTCCTTTACTCTGACATAAATCAATACTGCACTGTAGTTACTCTGGATTAATATCAGGCAAGACCTGCATGCAGACAGAATTGTGACAGAACAAATGGGTTGCTATTACCAGTATTTGCATACAGCCACCATACCAAAGAAATTCTGATTTTGCTGCAGCATGTAATTCTTCCATAAAATAATGGAAGTGTTATTAGGACCCAAAAATATATAGGCCTTTTTAAAAAAATATTTCCTTTATTTGTGGCTTAAAACATGTAGCAGTATGCCTTTCCTGTCTCAGCCTTAAATACAGCAGATTTTGGTGCTGGAGAGCAGCTTGAGAGTGTCATTTCAAGGACAATTTGCCATTTTGAAGGAGATTTTTGCATTAATCACCAAGTATTTTGGTATCACCAAATTATACTCTTATGACACCCTTCTGTTACAGTTCTGCACAGCCCTGGCTTGTGACTGAGCTGATCTACCACTGTAAATTCAAGGAAGAGGAACAGCCAAACTCTGAAAGTTGGGTTGAAAGGCTGTTTAAATCAACCACCTATGGTGAGAATATTTCATTCCTTTCCCAGACAGGTTTACCCAAAGTTCTCGTGAAATTCATTGCAATGAATTGTAAGATTTGTTATCTCACCTGTGAGATAACAGCAGCAAGAGCTGTGCAATGTGATTCCTAGGAAAGGTACCTGCACACACAGAACATTCCTCAAATTTTTAGAAAATTAATGTGGCTGTAGTGATACCTCAAGTACAATAATCTCTGGTTTTCTACTGAAACATCAGCAATGCAGCAAGAAACCCAAATCCTTTGGGATATTGTAAATAGCTAAGGAGGAGTACTCTCAAAATTGAAGAAAAGCTTCTTCCAAACTGCTTTTTTTTTCCTTTTTACCCTGTATTGACCTTTTTGCAAAGACAGGCTGTTTCTTACCATGCCCTTTAGTGTCAGATCTGTTAAGGGAGATCTGTTACCATGGAAATCTGGCCAAACATGTAAATCAACAGTGAGGAAACCCACAGGCAAAGATTTCTTAATCAGATCCAGGTGACTGTTCAAGTATGTATATATACTGTGAGCACTGCAAGAAAAACAAGTTGGAAAAAGAGGGGGGAGGTTATTCCTCAAACATAAAACATTTGTACCACCACCAAATGCAGAAACCCCACTAAAGAGCAGCAAAACCCCACTGCCTGCCAAGGCCATGGCACTGCAAGGATATCTCTGTGCACGTGGGCTCAACAGGCCATCAGAATTCCTTAATTTCCTGGGATGAGGGGAGATAATGTGACCTTGAGCTTGTCCACTGACTCCTAAGGGTCCCCAGAGCTGTTTGTGATTTGGGGGCTGCTGCTGCTCCTCTCCCACAGCTGAGGGAGGAGTAAGGAGGATTCCAGACAGAAATAAAAACCAAATTCCTTTGCAAATGTTTAAAAATTTCTCTGATTAATCAATAGCGCTGGAAGTATGGCTTTCCTTTTTTAAACCATAATTATTTCAGTGTGTGTTATGATTAAAATGCAGCACTAAGGGTGGAGGAGAGAAAGTGAGTGGCTGCTATTTTAGGGAGGAGCCCAACATGGGCCTAAATATGATTGTATCTAAGTTCAGATGCTACACCCAACTCCACAATATCCAACAGACTTTTTTCCTGGACTTAAGACTAATGGTGAATTCTTCAGTGCCTTGGCTTGCAATGACTCTAGTGACATTCCATTTATAAAATGTTGCAATTACACTCAGAATATTTTTTTCAAACACTCATCCTATCACAAACAAACCCATAGATATTTTCCAACTCCTTGGAAACCTCCAAGCAGGGCATTTAATTCTAGACATGTGGGTCAATAATAGCATCTAACCCTAATTACAATTGATTAGTCATTGTCTCATCCACTGCAGACCCAAACAGTGATATTCATTTAGCCTCTACATGTATATTCAATCATGCACTAATGAGATCCCTAAGGGAATTTGGCATATGCTTTACTAGTTTGACTTCTGACCCACTAGCAGCTGTATATTTATACTTTGCATCCAACCATTCAGCTGCATGTTTTTTCAATTATACCTTACCATGTGTACATTATCAGAGGATATCATTCAAAATGAAGTACACTTGGAAGACATTAAAATAACTAATTTACATCATTATTCACGTCCTTTAAATGTGCTTTATGTGTCTTCCTGGACCCGAATTATGATAATTTGAAGGTCACCATCATTTCTTTCCTGTGCTTGTAAAAGTGGCCCTGTTTTCTCCATCCCTAAAGCAGTACATGCTAAGGATAAAGTAGTTTTAATTCCAGTCTCAATCATGGCTTGACTGTTGGGAAGCAGAAAAAAGGAAAGCTTCACTCAACCACCAGAGATCCCAGCCTCTCTCCTATCCCCTCCATCCTGGCTGATTGCTCTCACAAGGATTAGCCATTTGTGCAGCTCTGTCAGAACACAAGGACTTGAACAAAAGGAGGCCGAAGTTGAGCCAAACATGCTTAAAATCCACATAACCTTGGAATTACACTTTTTCCCACACCTTTTCACATTTTATTTTTTTCCTAAATATAGATAAGGGTTCAAGGCACTACATTTGGACTGAGTGACCAGCAAAATCCCTCAAACACCTGCCAGAGCCTGTTTTACCACCTTTGTGTTTAACACAGTGTAACACCATCACCTCCTGGAGGTTTTTCGACTCAGTTCTCTGTGAAAGTATCAGTGGCAGCTGCCTCTGACCTGCAAAGCTGAGCATGAGCTGCTGCCATGTAAAAGGAACTGTGCTGAAAGTGGAGAATAAGAAATCAATGCAAGGCTGCCCAGAGCTGTGTTCATACGTGGGACACAACTTCAGAAAGCAACCAGGAGCTGGTATTTAATCTGAAAGATGCCAGCAGATATCTTTCAGGGAAAAAAAAAATCCTAAATTTTTCAATTTCTAAATAAAAAAAAAGGTTCTAAACCATCTAGAGACACAGAGAACTGCCAAGTATGATTCTTATATTCTGCTAGAAAGATGCCAGAATTGCTGGTGGATATTGTGTAACTTCAATGCTTTCTCTTCAGGAGATATCTCTTTAGATGAGGAAATGGCACTGAGATCTATAGGAAAAGGAATTCTAAACCAGCACTTCACCAAGTGCCAAAGGACACAAACTCTGCTGCCAGTTAGACACTTTCCTTCTCTATCAGATTAGAAATGGCCATTCTAGAAACCAGAATTATTTAAACTTTAAAGCCAAAAGGATCATACTATTTTCTTTTAATTTCCTACTCTAATCTACCTGTACAGGATTTAACAGAGCAGTGATGACTAAATGTCAGACCTACACAAAATGTAGCATGAGAAGCAAAAGTGATAACATCACAGCAATTTCTGCAACTCACTGAACTGCCCAAAAACCCCAAGTTTTGGTGCTCACAGATTGTGCCCATCAGATAGACCAAATGCTACATTTAAATTGTTCAGAAAATCCTTGTGTAATTCAACCCTCTCTAGTTCCAGTAAAAGAAGGGTAAAAAAGAGCCCAGGAATAGGACTGGGAGGGTTGCACAAGCCTGGCCTTCAGCAGCAGTGGTCAGGGCTTGTCTGAGCCTCTCACACCCTCCCAAGCCACCACAAATCTCTGCAGTGGTGCTAAAACTGCTGGAAATTTGCTCTGGTGGGGCAAAGGAGAGTTTGCACAGGGAAACTCCCCAGATCAGCTGCTCAGCAGGGACCTGCCATTCCAAACCTGCCTCTCAGCAGCCTCAGGAGAAAGGGAGGACAGGTTTGGGGAGGCAGAAGGAGGTGAGAGCAGCCAAGAGGCATGGATTTGTGACCTCTGATGTTCTTTATTTAATGGTGCAGACATGCATGTGCTTAACTCTTCATTGCACCCAGCATGGGAAGGAAAGGCAACAGGAATTGCACACCAAAGTATGAAATTCTCATTTAGTTTCCCCTCCATGGCTATCTGCAATGGCTGAACAGATTCAAATTCCTATAGCCACACAGAGAATATCCTTAAACATAATAAACCGAAATTCTCTGATCTGTTCTGCTGAGAATTCCAGTGAAATAATTTCTCATCACCAATAACCCTCTAAAACAAGGTACCATGTTTGAAGGGAGCCTACATGAAAGATGAAGAGAGACAATTACAAGGGCCCGGAGTGACAGGACACAGGGAATGGTTTCACAGTGCCAGAGGGCAGGGATGGATGGGATATTGGGAAGGAATTGCTCCCTGTGGGGGTGGGCAGGCCCTGGCATGGGGTGCCCAGAGCAGCTGTGGCTGCCCCATCCCTGGCACTGCCCAAGGCCAGGTTGGACAGGCCTGGAGCAGCCTGGGACAGTGGGAGATGTCCCTGCCATGGCAGGGGATGGAACTGGGTGGGCCTAAGGTCCCTTCCAACTCACACCCTTCTGTAATTCTGGGATTATTTTTATTCTGTGTATATGACTTAACGTAGGTGAACACATAATCCAGAGTTTTGGCCAACAGCAGCTGCTATTTGTATCCAGGATAAGGCATAATTCTGGGGAATTCTGGAAAAATAGAAAGGAAAAAATAGCAAGAAAAAAACAAATTCAAATTTCAAAGTTTTTGATTTTTGTTTCATTCAAACAAAATTCTTTAAATTTAACAAATAGTTGAGAAGGACAGGGAGACAGAAGATGAGAGAATTAATATGAGACTTGTTTAGTAAATTTAGAGCAATACCAATGTTTCATTAGGAGAGTGATACCTGGAAAGCATTAGAAAAATACCACTGAGCAAATAAACTTAGTAAAATATTATCACTCTTTTTATAAACTATTACAACTCTTACTATCAGTGCTATTCTCCACCATGTTACTAACTGCAGGCAGGAGACTCAAATCCAAAGTTATGGCACCATACCCTTGGATAATATGGAGTTCTACTGCCAATATTCTGTGTTTAGTGTCCTGTTCACATCACAATCTCAGTTTCTGCACTGTGGCATTGTTTGTGGTCAGTCAGTTCAGTATCAGACCCAGCAGACACAAGTAAGATACTCCATAGGCATTTTTCCAGCACAAAAAAAAATGGTTTATCCTGGCATTACAGACTAAACTGTTTGTCTTATGCTCATACTTCAAATGGGGGCACTGGAAAAATGGCCTGGAAGCCAGAATTTTGAAAAAGACCCAGTTCAATCTTTATTCCAAACATACACAGATGCATTTATTTCCTGATTTCCTTTTCCAAAGAACAACAAAGAGAATTCTAGGAAGCATGAATCTGTTTCATATTGAATGAAGTCCAATGTATTTCTGGGAATCCTGGTCAAGTTCTTAACAAACAAGTAAGGCAGTGGGCCCTGCAAGGCAAGGAAGGGTCATCCAGAGAAACCAGGTAGAGCTTTATCTCCCCAGGGAGGACTGAAAATATCTCTGTATCAGCACGTGCTTAATCCATCCATCAGGACTGGCCCTGCCTCAAAGACCAGAGGGAGAAACTGAAGGGAAAATGCCAAGTTTGCTGGGTTTTTTCTTTAATCTAAGGAGGAAAAAGACATTTAAGAGAATCACATTTTCATCCAACGTGCCCAACTGTTCAGCTAAGACCTCTCTGGGAGTGATGTGAACCATCTCAGAATGAACCCAAGCCAAAAAAGCTTGAGGAAGTCCAGGCCTGACAGAAGTGTCTGAACTGTCTTCATCTACTTCTAAAGCAGAACAAGCTCAAATTCCACATCACACACAGCCTCTTGTTCAAGGAATCCTGGAGCTACCTCCAAGTCACCCCTCCATTTAAAGCTTTGTCTGAAAATTCATCCTGTGTTTCTCTGTTCTATTTGTGGGGCAAGCTGGGGTTTCTCATACAGTGGCTATATCTTCCTTTAGATGACTGTTTCAAAAATACTGAATAATATATTCCTAATTAAGCTACATCCCATCCTCGGAGCTTAATTATTTCACCTACAAATTAAGACAGATTGCTAGCCCAAGGCATGGAGGTCTGCTGAACAGGGCTGGTGCTATAGAATCAAGAAATACCTTGGGCTGGATAGAAAAGCAAAAAGTTAACAAGATTACTTAGATATGCCACAAGTATCTGAGGGGAGTTTAAACCTTACATTTATGAGCAATCACCAGGAAAATCTTTGTAAATAGTTCCAGCCTGCTATCAGACTGTGAATTCCCCTGAGTGAGAGTGAGGACACTGCTGGGAACACAGTGTGCATCAGTCTGTGAGGCAGGTATGTGATAAAGGAATAAAACAGTGACCTGGCTTCAGCCTTGGCCTCCAATTCTGGGAAGGCGACGTGGCCTCGCACCACATGATCGATCTGAAAAAAGAGAAAAGCAACATTTTGAGGATGATTACATCTTGAAAATTCAATCCTGGAAAAGGGAAGCTCTAAAAAAGACAAGAGAGCTTCTAAATTCCTCATGAAGTGTTAAATCCTAATCCTAGCAAAGCCAATGGCAAAACTCCCACTGAAATTCAGGATTTGGCATTTAAACAGTAAGAAAAACAACCAACCTTGCACCAAACCCAGGCCAAATGCTAAGCATGCAGCTCCTCAGTCAGGAGATTAAGGTGAAAGAATGACTTTTTTCCTGTCCAACACCCCCTGCATGTCCTCTAGTCGGTCCCATTCTGCATGGATATCCTCATTGGAATTCTACCAGAAGCATCTTCTTGGCCCAAATCCCTGCATCATCTTTCTCTATCACACTGTTATGATAAAACACAAGGTGTGTTGTCATCCTGATAGATGCCTCATGCATTCATTGCAGGAAACAAAATGTATACCCTGAGAAGCAATTATTGCTATAAAAGAAGATCAATATAAGTTCTGTCTTATGCTGAATTTATAAATCAGCTTGTCCTTTCCCTCCAGAGTGGTTACCATTACTCACAAAACAAAGCATCAGGTAGAATAATATGGGCTTTTAAGGCAATAATTCAGCATGTTTTGTGGCCTCTTGGTAATATCCCATCAGAGGTGACAGTAAAAGCTAAGGAGGCAAAACTACAGCTACTCAAGAGCACTGAGTATATTTGGCAGTACTTATTGACAGCAAATCACATTGGTATTTAATCTTAACAGCATGAGTCTAGTCCTGAACCACATAATGAAGCATACACATGTGAACACAGCAAAGAAAATAACGTATGTCTGTTCTCCCTGAGATCAGCATCAAAGTCAGAGGCCAAACGTGTGCATGCACCAGAAACACAGCTCAGGCCTGAATTCTGCAGTCCTGCAGAACACAGGGGCAGCTCAGAAATTCAGAAATAAAACTATAAATAAACATCATATATAGGTGTCTGCTCTGAAAACACTGTTACACAGAACTGCTACAGGAGTTACAAAGTTTGCCCTTAATTCAAGCCATGGCCACATGAGGGATGCATCTAGAAACCCGTTTCTGTTATTTTTGTTTCGCATTTTGCAGTGATGTCATGCCATCCTTTGTTTTGCACTATATTTCTTCTTATAAATTTTGAAAATGTAGTGTAAAACCCCATTGAATATACAAATAAACAAGACTTTGCAGAATAAGGGACTTCTTAATTCTTCACTTGGACTCTATCTAAAACAGTTCTCAAAATCCAACTGATTTCTTTTGCAGCTGTATTCCCAAAAATTAGAGCTCTTTTAAAGGGATCAACTTTACTTTTAAGAAGTTTGATCAGACTGTTCAAATTTTATGGAAATAATTCACCTTGGGGTGTTGATCAAGCAATGTAAAGAATCCCTACACATGTCTCTTTTTTTGGTTTGTTTTCAGAAAACTTTAGGTGTGAGAAAGCAGGAGCTTTGAAATGACAGAGATAATAAATGTAGTGTACCCTGCACAGTGCAGTGTCTCCTCCCATGGCTCCCTGTGTGTCTTCTGTTCACACCACCTCAAGGAAACCACAGGGGATATTCCACGAGTGTTTTAATGAGACATTTTCCCTAACAGTACTTCTAGCTGACTTTTGCTGTGGGTCCTAACAAGACTGTTCATTTTTCCCAGTAATTTTTTAATGATTCAGGAACACCTTGTTCTCTGGTACAAGAAAGGAACGGATTTTAAAAATCATCTTTTTCAAATGCCTTAACTCTCATTGTACATTTAAAGTGTGGAACCACTGTGAGCCAGCCAAGAACAACTACTGGCTGCCTGTATCCTGTCTGGAACTTAGATAAGTGTATTTACCTGTTCAGAATTAAGCACACAGAAACTTCCTTCTCAAAAGTGTTCTTGCAAAGCAGCACACAAGATTTGCTATTTTCCTTGAAAAATGGTAGTGTTATGAGCATTCATTTCTTATTTTATATAGACATTATTTAATTTTATGTCTGGTTGTAGCAGTTATTTGTAAAATGGGACACTTTTTGGTCCTAGCCCAATCTCTACCTGAAAAATTTAAAGCATATGTATCCCACTTTCTGCAAAAGCAATTATTAAAAATTATTATTAATTTTAGCCACAAGGCAAAGGATGGGCTGGAGGTGGGGTGGGAAGCCAGGCTGCAGGAGGAGGAATGACTGTGCCACTGCAGCTGTGACACAGAGGAACGTCAGGAGAGAGCACAGGAGGAATCCCAGTGACAGCTCAGCCTGGGGTGTGTCTGGCCTTCCTGATCCAGGAGGATTTCTGCTTCTCATTCAGTGACTGTTCCATATGGAATGTTTAAATGCAGCAATGCCCCAGTGCATTTCCTGGCCATGTACTCCCATCTCCAGGCTTGTAAAAAGATGGGTGGTGCTGAGTCAGGAGCGATCACAGCTGCAGTTTGTGACAGAACAAACCCACCTGCACTTGGGGCTCTGCAGGGACACCCACAGGCCTGGGGCTCTCTCCTGCAGCCTCTCCAGAGGCCCCTGCAGCTCAGCCCTGAGGGCAGCCAGGGCGTCCACAGGTTGGGCAAGGTGACACTGATGCCTCAGGTTTTGGCTTTTATATTTTTCACATTCTGTGCTGCTTTAGTGTGTAACTCTAGACTTCATATTAGGGAATGGTGAGCTCTCTTCGCAGAATAGAGACAAAACAATTCCTGCTCTAGCTGGGGACCAAGGACAAATGATCCAAATCTCAGGCCCAAGAGCATAAACAACGTGGACTGAAGACAGAAAAAATAAGAAGGATGGAACTTCATAGGCTAAAACTGTAATTGGACAATTAACTCCAATATGCGAATGGAGCAGAACTTATAAAAATGACTGGCCATCCATTTTGTGACCATTTTGGTTCATCTTGGGTGTAGCCCTGGCTGGGCTCTTGTGCTGCCCAAGGTGGATCCATTGAGGCCTTTTAATAAATCCCTGCTTTAGTCTTTAATTCTGTCTAGTCTCTGTTCTAGGGCAGCCTTCACAAGGCATCAGCACAAGGAGATCCAGAAACCCCAGGGTTAAGCAGTCACCAAGGACTTGCTGACACTTTTGGACTCAAGCCTAAATACTGATGTGTACATGATGTGCAGCCTTTCTTTAAATTTGATATGTTTTACTTCTGACTGCCTTCCTGTAAATACAAAGATTCATTTTTTAGTGAACCCTGCTTAGCTTTAATTTTTATTGGTAAATTAAATTAACCTAGTACTTTCAGATTCTCTGTATTCAGGGAAACAACTGAGGTGATGGAATAATATGTGACCATGTTACTGTTCTGCCCCTATATTTTTCATTTATGTCCATCAAAGAACACAACTGATCTATATAATAAAATATGTATAATTTTCTTCCCCTCAAAGTCTGTGTCAGCCTCCTGCTAAAGCAAAGAATGAAGCCAATTTGCCTGTAAGATAATTACAATAATCATTACCATCACCATAAAAGGAAGACATGCCCTGTACATAATCCCCTATCTCTATGCAAATTAGAATTACATAACAGACACAACACTCATCTAATTGTTAATTGCTTTCAGCAGCCTGGTACATCCCATGATCTTATGGAGGTGGTTCAGGTCTGAATTGCCAGTCTCCAAACACTCACCAGTTTTCCTGTAGCACTCTGGCCTCCCTCATTCAACCACAGTCCAGGTACCATGGCAGAGAAATATGGTCCCCAAACACCAGGCACAAAAATGGGGGTTTCACTCACCTGGAAAAACAACAGAAAGCTCTAGTGAATCCAAGTGCTTGTCAAAGTAGGAACTTAAAAATTAAAGCTTGACAACTATCAGAGTCTAATACTGAGACAATTCCTGCTTCTCCACTGGAATAACCAACAGAAGTGGAGGTGTACAGGTAGAAATTTACTCCAAAAAAGCATGGAAAAATGTTTTCCCCCATTTACATAATTTTTAGATGACAAGACAGCCCACAACTCACTCATACCGACTGAGAGAACAGCAGGGCCTAGCCAAACAGAAAGTAAGAAATTTCAGGAACAGGAGATGCATTTTACAGAGAGAGGGAAACTGCCTCATTTCTCCAGCAAAAGGCCTTATTTCGAGTGACTAGTGGGATACAATACTCTGCTTGACTGGATGAGCAAACACAGGCACTGTAATCAGCCACAGGAGTTTCCAGAGCACCCATCCTGTACATTTGGAGAGCCCAAAATGAGGAGGGAATCCTGCTGGCAGAGGACAGTGGTGTCCCTTGAGAGCTGCCATCAGCTCCATGCTGGCAGTGGAAGCCCAAGCTCCACCTGGGCCCTCACAATAGTGCCAGGAGAGCTGGGTGCCTCAGGTGCAGGCTGCACACTGGGATCTGCTTGGCTTCAGCAGCAAACATGCCTGGCTAAACACCAGATTCTGCCCCTCACTTTACACAAAGCACTCCTAGCTGTGAGGGCAGATCAGGCAGGTACCAGAGCAGTGCTCCTCCACCCACACACCAACATCCCCAGCACCCTGACAGCCTGGCCCCTGCACTCCCTGCTTTTGTGGTTAGACCACTCAGGATGTGGGAGACAGTGGTTCATTTCCTCTCTCTGCTTCAGAAGATGCAAATTACCAGTTTATAAGGGCGGAGGGCATTTTTCTTCCTCTTGCAAAGTGGTTTCACTTTCAATACACCAGACAGACTTTCTAGACTTCCCTCCTGGTTCAGCAGATCACTGTCCAGTCTAGCAAGCAAGGCCAGCACACGCCAGAAATGGGATGGTGGGACTTGGGTCCCAGGACTTGCTCCAAAGACTAATTTGAATTCCCCACTAGTTGAACACAGAATTCTTGCAGCAGGGGCTGGAGGACACAGGCCATCCATGACCTGCCAGGCTTCTCTTGGAAGCAGGATCCATGTTTTCTCTTCCACACTCAAGTGAGACACAGCTGTGAGTTCACTGGGAAAAGAGAACAGCAGTGCAGTCCTACACCATCCCATGATTTATGCTGCACTTCCCACTGATGATGGCTAAATCTGCAACTGTTGTTTTCTAGAAGGTGGGAACTACTACCAGAGAAGGATACAAGAGAATTAGTTCCCTAACGAAATCAGTCTGTTTCCAATGCTGCAGAGCAAAAAGAGAGGTCTTAATCAATGGGGCAATGGGGTATTTTGCATTTAGATTTTCCTCTTCAATAGCAAAATTCTAGACCCATTGAAGGATGCTCAAGGTTTGCTGTTGAATTCAATAAAGCCTGGACTTCACATCAAAACAGCTTTGAGAATAATTAAAAATTCAGGCCTGTTCCTGTTAAACTTGATGCACATTCTCTCTATATTTAAACAGGCTGAACTTTAAAGGCAGCTTTTACTAGTCAGTAGGGAATATGCTCCAAGATGCAGTTTACTGGCATTTGTGCATCACACATGTTTAGTAAATACAGCAGCAGGGAGGTTTCTGCACAAACAATAGTCTGTTCAAGCCATAAACTTACAGTACAGCTGATTCTTGTCAGGAAGTTAAGCAGGAAAACAAAACAACAAAAATTTGTTTTTCAAAATACATCACCACAGTGTCAAGAAATGCTGATTTCTCTCAGGAAGGCATCTAACAAATCTGGGAATCCTGCTTGGTTCTCCCTTATCAGCTCTGATGCCCTGACTTACTTTCTCTACAGATGTATGTGTACACGTATCTGTGTGTCTGTGCAAGATTTTGGCTGACTAAACACATTAAAGAGCAAGAATTGCTGCACTGAATTTACAAAGGCATTTATGACTCCAAGTGGACGAAGCTACGTCAAAAACATTGCAAAGACATTTGGTTTTGTTTTGTTTTCTCTTAAAACTACAAATTAATACAGCTTTGAGTTTTCATCACCTCGATGGGGCAAGCCTTCTTTTACAATTTCAATAACAAAACAAAGCACAACAAAAAGCAAATCCTAAAACAAGCTGATTTTTAGACCAATTTCACTTCACTGACCTTACTGAGAATACAGCATGTGGTCAAAGTTCCCAGTCAGTATCTGCTCTGAGCTGGTGATGGAAGCATGGGGAGAACCCAAACATCCCAACTCATTCCCACCCTACAGCCATGGACACAGCACAGCGTCCCAGGAGGTCACAAGGTACATTTAGGGCAGAAGGGGCCTGGGGTTTTGAAGGCTTATCTCAAAATATTTGTGATACAGAGAACTTTGCAGGGTTCTGCAGTCTCCTGAAGGAAAAATCTGGTTATGGCAAAGGGATCGAGCTCAAGATCCAACTGCTGTGTCACCTGAAAAAACAAGTAGCCAAAGCACATTAAAGGCATCAAGATGCTTTATGAAATCAGGGGAAAGTCTCAACATCCAGAAGGACAATAGAGTTTATAAAATAAAATACAAACCCCACACCTTTTTCCTGTCATTAGTCTACCATTTACCGAATTCTCCTGTGAAAATGTTTAGATTCATTAAAAGACCAAATTCTCCCTGCAGCCAGTACTTCTGGCTTTGTGTTTTGGACACTCACAGGAATTTAGGACAGGATATTTCCATGCTGGCTCTTCTCACATTACACTAAGACCTTCCTATCCTCTTACCACCAAAGTACCATTTGTACACATTCCAGCAAACTTTCAACACATGAACAGAGCAAACGAGGGCGTTGGGAATTGCCACACTGATGAATAAAGCCAGCAGGGCACTTGGTTATCAGTTTTGTTGCTGTGGGAACTTTTAACTGGAATAAAGAACACTGGCTTGTCATGCTGGGTTTTACTGATGATAGGGCATAATCAGATTTCCCATTTCCCCCTTTCACTTCAGGAGTTTAACTCACATTTTGTAGACTCTAGGCTTTGATGCACACAGAAAGGAGGAAAATTTGGGAATAACAAACTCCCCAAAACAGACACACAATCTTTGAGAAGCAACAGGGTGAGCATCCTCCTGTAGCTATATGCATCAGAAACAGCAAATGGTTTCCATTTCCCCTCCTTGAAATATTTGGACGGTGATTAAATCTTTCAAGCCACGCAGCAGCTGGCATTTGTATTTTCATAATAAAAGGTCCTAATTCTGTTTGAGTATACATCCCACTCAATCCCACTAAAACACATGACTAGACAGAGGCATAAGGTTGGAGAAACAGTGCAAAGTTTGCTGCAGAACCCAGAAGAAAAGAAAAGCACAATTTTCCAGATTCAGGGCTATATTGGTTACAATAACACCATGTCTCTTTTACAGCTCTCAATTGCCTTCAGACATTCTTATGGTGATATAGGAGGATCAATGTCATTATTTTTTTTTTCCTTTAATGAGCTTAAGAAAATCCTTAATCTTTTTAGTAGAAAAACAACATGTGTTTCAGATTTATGGGCAATTGATTTTTATTTTTAAAGCAAATAAGAGATGTCATCCTTCTCTGGAAGTTAAAATACAAATTCAAAGGGAGCCTAAGATTTTCTGCCTTCCATTGAACTGAAATTCCTCCTGTGACACACTCCCACTGTGAGACATAGTAACACTTATTATCTTTTATATAGAGTGAAACTGAAACACAGGATATCCTCTGCTAGAGGTGAGAGTGATCTCTGCACAATTAATGCAGCAGGAATTTGAAGACAGAAGACGAGAGGGATCTGAACCTGTTCAGACTTTGAGTCATAAGCTGCATCTATAAATATTTCAGCTGAACGTGTTCACACAGGGACTGTTGCCCTCATGGGTGACGATGCCAGCTCAGACACGGATTACACCCAGACAGGCAATTCCACCTCACACTTACTCTGTCTGGGGATGGGGACAATCCTTCTGTGCAAGGAAATGTCACCTTTCTCTGCCTCCCCACCGCACACATTCCTACTTGCTCAGCCCCATTGTTTTGGATGAAATGAGCATTAAGCAGTTCCAAGATTCCTGCTCATTTCACAGAAAAAAAAAAAAAAAGAAGCAAAAAAAGAGTTCCACACCTTCTGAAAGGGAGAAGAAGGGAAATAAAAGTTCTCTCTGGGCGGGTTTAACCTCAGCGTGTGCTTTATAAAAGATCATACTAATATGTAAGATATGTAAACATTATAGAGCAATCAGAAACAAATGAAAGGATGAATTCAGTTTAACAATATTCAGCTGTGGTGCAACTGCCAGAAGGCACTTTTTGTTATGAATAGATCATTTGGATGAGTTACAGGCCAGACTTGAACCCTGGCGTGCGCTGGGAAAATCAGTGTCAAACTACCTAAGATCAGAAGGTATCAGCAGCACATCTGGCAGCCCAAAGAAATGAAAAATGTTTTTAAAATATAAAAGGCTATATAGAACTAAGGTAAATTAAGAAAGGACCTGCTTAAATGGCATTATTATGAGATCTGTAATGTATTTAATTTAGATTAGTCCTTCCCACTTGCCTCTCCCTTTAAAACAAAGGCAAGCAAAAAAAAAATCCATTTCAGTTATAAAAGTCTACCTGGAAAAAAAAGCAGGAGAGGCTAATTCACAGCTGATGTGAGTGAATCAGAGGAACCTTTAACCCAAGTTCAGCTCTCAGAACTGTCCCTGCCTTCAAGGACAGGACAGAACAGAGACCTTCACAGCCAAGCCCCACCTGGGCACCCAGCCATGCCATCAAAGGAGCAAGTGGCACTGTGAGATTTGTTTCACTTAGCTCTGTTTTCCTGGATCAGCCATGGTGATCAGGCACATGCTTGTGTTTCCTCCTCAGCTTTATGTAAATGTTAGGGCAATCAGAGACAAGATAAAATAAAACACACCACGCTGGAGAGAG